AGCTAAGTTATCTAAATATAGAGTCTCTGTATAAGTTCATTTGCCACAATTCATCTTGCCAAACTTGAAACTCAACAAGGCAAAGAGAGAAAGCAGAGGTAAAGCAGCAATCCCTCTAAGTCTTTGGCTTCCAAAGTCCTCCTTCTACCTCTCTCTCTCTCTCTCTCTCTCTCTCTCTCTCTCTTCTACATATGTCATCATTAGGGTTTTTAGAAAACTAGGTTCTTACTTCTGATCACAGTTCTTTTGTTTATTGTAGGACTCTTTCATTTAAGATTTTTATTGGGTACAACTCTCTCATCATTTATTTTCATCCAACAAAAACAAGAACCCTTTAGTACTTATAGCATACTAATAATTAAACAATTTTTTTTTCCATATATAATCCACATATACATGCTTTTTTTACCCTCAAATATGTATTTTTAAACTAGCTAATTGTTGGGTTTTTGAGTCTTGATCTAAATCAGGAATTTGAGCACTGGTAGAGTCAGAGTTCCATAAATTTCTTCTAGCTTTTCCTACAAATTAAAGAAGAAAAATTACGTAAATATGGGAAGGGGCAAGATAACAATTTCGAGGATACAAAACAAAACCACAAGGCAAGTGACTTTTGCGAAACGGCGGGCAGGACTGATCAAGAAGACTCATGAGCTTTCTGTGCTATGTGATGCCCAGATCGGCCTTTTCATTTTCTCAAGCACTGGCAAGATGTTTCAGTACTGCAGTGAGGCATCAAGGTGATGAACTAGTCCTCCCACTTTATGTATGTTTTATTTTCTTGCTTTCTTGGGGACTTTTTATGGGTTTGTTTTATTTTTTCTTTATTCGACGTGTTTCTTAGATGGGTTTTATTTACTGATCTGGTTGCATAATTTGTGTGTATTTGTTCAGTTTGCAAATTAATGGTTACAGAAGTTTGATTAGTGTTTCTCTTTTCTTTTTACACAGAAGATCATATTTTGGTTTCAGGGTTTGCTTTGTTTCAAATCACAACTTCTCTCTCCTTTCTTTTTTCTTTTCACCGATCTATGTGTTTTACTGTTGTTGTTGCCATTTGGGGTTTTCGTTTTTTCTACACTGTTCTTGTGCATGATCTGATCTTAGTATCTCTCTCCCAATCTGTAACTTATTTATTTTTCCTTGAATTTATTTTTTCTCAGCACCGCAGGTTGATTTTTACACAGTGCTATGCTTTGGTTTTCAGTTTTGGCTCAATAGCCTCATCAAATTTAAATGATTTGACCAATTGAGTTCATCTACTTGCTATTTGCTCAGATCTGCATATCTAGGGTTTCCGAAACCCTAATAATTTCTGACTGAGGCACTCATGCTGTCCTATGTCAGCAAAAACAAAGAGTAAGAAAACAAATAGTTGATAATTCACGGTCAACAAATATTTCTGCCACAGACTTTCAATTGAATGTTGATGTCTACCTACTTCAATCTCTACCGTCTGATCTTACTCTTTATTTTCACTTGATCATTTTCCGTTTTGAATTTTGGGTAAATCCCTTTTCAGATTTTTATTTTCGTTATGGCACTCATAACCAATATTGTTGCACGACACGTTCTGGTGAATTATTTTTCCAAATTTTTACTGAGTAAAATGTAAATTAATATATGACATACATATGTCTGTTAGTTATAATGTTACACGTCTAATTAAGCTATATGTGATCCAACTTTAGAAATTAAATTCATGTTAATTAATATCATCATCTTCATGGTTTTGTTTGTATGTCTTATAGCGTGGAGGAGCTTATTCAAAGGTACCAGGTTGCTAAAGGGATTCGAATACCGCAACACAACGACACGGTATATGCACCCGGTGATTATGTACTGAATTTCAACTCAAAACCAATATGATTGTTCTAAGTGCTTCTGTTACAAAAATTATTTGTGACACACCTTCTATTTGTGGATATATATAGGAATATATGAATGCTGAGTTGGGAAAAATGAGGAGAGAAACTCACCATCTGGAATTAAGTTTGCAACGCTACACAGGCGAGGATCTAAATTGCGTTCGATTTGAAGATCTGGTGGAGCTTGAACACCAACTGGAGGCGTCTGTTAACAAGGTTCGAGCTAGGAAGGTATAATTAATCTTCAATTGTCTTCTAATTACTACATTTTTTAGTTGATGTTATATATAGTGTTACAGGTTTAAATTTGGTACTGTATGATTTGTAACATGGTCACATTAGAAGGTCCCTGGTCGATGGCCATTCACGAAAATTCTACCATGATCTAGTGTATTCAGTAAACTAAGACTTTTAACCATTAGATATTGATTAGTGAATATTTTACCAATGATTTGACGGTTGAAATCCCAGTGTATATGAGTCACGTGTTTTGATTACCTAGCTAACCTTTTTTGTTCATGAATTTCTTGGTTTTTTTTTCTTTTCCAATGACTAATTGGAAATTGGCGTACAGTTTGAGGTCTTGCAACAGCAGATAGCCAATCTTCTTGCGACGGTAAGTTTTTAAACCCATGATCTCTAGCAATATATTCACTTTTTTGGTGAATATGATCTGACATACTGATGGGTTGCATTGTCATGAAACTTAGACCAAAAGGCGGGAGGAAGAAAATGAGAAACTATTCCATCTGGTGAGTATCTGCAAGGTTATATCTAACTTTGAAATTTCCGAAACGTTGCTTACAAATTAACATGCATGACGAAGTGTTAAAAGTTTGATTAATTTAAATGTGTATATGGAAATTTAGATTAAGGCACATCGGGCAGCAGCATTTGGTCATGATCTGCAGGCGCATCATGAGGCTCACGAGCAGTTGGAGAATCTGGAGATGATACCGAAATCTGAGGAGCACCGACACGTGCTCGATCAATTCCCATTTGCAGGTGAAGAACAACCAAGCAGTGTGCTTCAGCTAGCTACTTTGCAGCCTCAGCCTCAGTTCAACCCTTACCCTCACCAGCCTGCTCATCATCATCCCGGCCTTCTCGATTTCAACCTCAGCGGCCCCTCTATATACGGTATACGTATATATACAGCAGTTATACATATTATATATTTGATCATGATCACACAAAGTGTTTAATTAATTACACTGGTGATATATACAGCCTAATTTTTTATTCTTTTTTTTTTTTTTTTTCCAGTTACATATTCATACCACGGCTTACAACACTAATATAATTCTGTCTGATGCTTATTAGTTTTGTTGTTCTGCAGAGTGACTATTTATGAGAAGGGATAGCTAGCTTCTGGCATGCATGCATCAAGGAAAAAAGGGGTGACTGAATCCTCTTCATGCTGGAATATTACAAATATCTGAACTACTTTTTCAGGGTTTTTGGACTTATTTATAAATATGACTTATTAAGAATATTATATGATGTGGTTTTCTAGCAAAAGATGATGTGGTTTTTGTTAAGATATGTTTATATCATGAATATTGATGATGAGTGAATCATAGATCAGTGCGTAATCACTTATATTTTACAATAGACTCGCTTTTCAGTCATCACTTATAGTTTATAATATCATTGAGATCTTACTTGATGCATGGTGGTGCACAATTAATTACCTAGATTGTGTACATTTTTTTCTTCTTTAAAATTTGTAATCCCTTTTTTTTTTTTTACAAACGATTGAATAATTTACATAAATCTACGGGAGGGGAATTCGAACAGGGACCTCGAGTGCAAAAACAAATGCTCTTAACCAACTGAGCTACAAGCTACTGCTATAAGTTAATGCTTTAGAAATTATTGAAGTTAGTAAAAATGTACTAGAAATATATAGAAGTAGAGCTGCTGTAGACAAATCAAGACCAAACAAGATGCAATTTTTATGCATGTTTATCAGCTTGTAAGCAGAAGTAGGTAGTTAAAAATTAAAATTGACTGTTCTCCAAAATGTTTTTGTATACGGCATTTCTTCTTTGTTTCCTATTTCAGATCGATGTGAGGGTCATAAAACGAATGGATTGATGAGTAGAAAGTCGGTTTTGGTAGTGTTTGTCTCTTGTTTCTAGGTTCGTTGATGCTGCTTGTGTGATTAGGCAACAGTTTTCCTTCCATTGCGAGACTAGGAATCGTAGTGCGACTCCTGCTTGTATTTCTCTTTGCTTCAATCTTGGATCACAAGCTTTCGTGTAAGACAAATTCTTCAATGTGACTGTAACATCACTTTACTGATTTGCACTTTAACTGATTCAAATGTATCGAAGACGTCTTAGCTAACACTGTGTCACCATTAATTAAGGTCCTTCGCTGAACCTTTGATTACAAGATAAACTTTACCATTTATATGACTATCACGCTTCATTTTATAGCCTGAAGGTTCCTAAAATACCTTTGTGAATTTCTCCGATCCCCAAATAAATGGACTGCCATGTCGAAACCACAAGCTAATTTTTTTAAGAAAAAAAAAAAGGAATAATCAACACACAACATAGCAAAAATGTTTTTTCTTTTTAGTTTTGCGTACACATACATAAATGAAAGGGACAAATTGCATATTTTTTTTCATTCCCAAGGGAGAAATAATTTACATATTGTAATGTGACAATGAGAATTGAATATTCATGTGTTTGTTTAAATACTCTATTTTATCCTAACAACACACATCAATAACTGTTTTTTAAAGGAGATTAGTTGGTAACTTTGTCAAGGCAGTCCACTTTTTTCGAAAACTGAGAAAACTTATATAGATATTTCAACTTCCTCTAACCATCATCGTGTGATTAATCAACACGAGAAATTAAACATAAATCATGCTGTGTAGATTGAACATAATTTAATTGTTACATCGTTGCAATAAAAAAAATTCATAAATTCTCCCAATATTTTAAATGCAAGTCTAAAAATTTCCATTATTATTATGATATTTTTTGACAAATCATATTATTTACACTAAGACTTAAGAGCTCTTATTTATAAATAAAAAAGAATACTACCAAAAGGGGTTAAATGAATTCTTAGTAGTAAGTGGACATACATTCTCAATTCTCAAGGGCCACTTAAAGAGAAAACATGCCTGCCTCCCTGTAACGCACTTGGCGCACGTTAGCATGTACGCCGAGGCCCCAAAACAACGGGTACGATGAGTAGTGAGCTCCGATCCAGCAAAGCCAAGAAGACTGCCAAACCCTCCTCTCCTTCTTCCACCAACTTCCCCCATGCCCGCCGCCGCCGCCAAATCCTAACCCAATTCCTCTCAATGGCGCGAAAATCCTCGCTCCTCAAGCAATCCCTCGCCACCATCGTCGGCGTCCTTGTCCTCTACGCCTTCCTCAACAACTTTCTCACTCCCGCCGCCACTTCCAAGCTCGAGAACGCCTTCCCCTCCTTCTCCTCCGCCGCTTCCAATTCGATCTCCGACGTGTTTGTTTCCCGGGAAAATCAGCTTAATTTTCCCGGAAAGCCCGTCAAAGTGTATCTCTACGATCTCCCGAAGCGTTTCACTTACGGAGTCATCAAGCATCACTCGTTAGCCCGCGGCGGCCGGCCTGACGACGACGTTTCGAAGCTCAAGTACCCGGGTCACCAGCACATGGGCGAGTGGTACCTGTTCCAGGACCTGCTCAAACCCGAATCGGAACGGGTCGGGTCTCCAGTCGAGAAGGTATTGGATCCGGAAGAGGCAGACTTGTTCTACGTGCCGTTCTTCTCGTCATTGAGCTTGATTGTTAACCAGGCCCGACCGGCCTCCGGGTCGGAGAAGCCGTTGTACAGCGACGAGGAGAATCAGGTGGCGTTGATTGAATGGCTGGAGGCGCAGGAGTACTGGAAGAGGAACAATGGCCGAGACCATGTGATCATGGCTTCGGACCCCAATGCTCTGTACAAAGTGATTGACAGAGTGAAAAACTGTGTGTTGCTTGTTTGCGATTTCGGGCGGTTGAAGGAGGACCAAGGATCGCTTGTGAAGGACGTGATCGTGCCTTACTCTCACCGCATCAACATTTACACCGGGGATATCAGCGTCGAAAATCGCAACACCTTGTTGTTCTTCATGGGCAACCGCTTCCGAAAAGAGGTACATCTTCAGTTGCTTACTAAATTTCTTATCTTGATCATTGTTGTTGTTTATTGTGATGGACTATCTTGTGGGTTTGTTGGAAATGCTGCATTTTTAATAAGCATTGTGTGATTGCTTCTCATCTAAGTCTATGAATTACGGGTTTGAATATGAATCAAGAAACTTTATGGGGTAAATGTTTGATATTAGAATCAGTTATCTGTCCGCCTGAGCTAATGTGACTTTTGGGGCTTTTTTTGTGTTTGTGTAGGGCGGAAAGATACGTGATTTACTATTCCAATTACTTGAAAATGAAGAGGATGTTATAGTAAAGCATGGAACACAATCCAGAGTGAGTCGACGGGCTGCTACACAGGGGATGCATACGTCGAAGTTCTGCTTGAATCCTGCTGGTGATACTCCATCAGCCTGCCGACTTTTTGATTCTATAGTTAGCATGTGCGTGCCTGTGATAGTCAGCGATAGCATTGAGCTGCCATTCGAAGATGTGATAGACTACAGAAAGATAGCAATATTTGTAGAATCCAATGCAGCTTTAAAGCCAGGATTCTTAGTCTCAGTGCTGAGAGGAATTCCCACTGAGAGAATTCTGGAATACCAGACAGAGCTGAATGAGGTTAGTCCAAATCTTTGTATTTTGGGATTTCAGTTGTCCTTTTCTTTCTGATGTTTTTCGAGTTTCATTCTGCTGTATTCGTGCTATTGTTTTCAAATTTTCTTCTGCTTCGGTTTTTGCTTGCTTCTTTTACTCATTTTCAGTTTCGAAGGTTTTACATTTGATTTGGTTGGAGACCAAGCATGGGGAAAAGGTTATGGCGAAATGAAGATTAAGAAATGGAAAACATATGTAAACCATGACCATGCCTAAGGAAACTAATGCAAACTGATACAGGACTTGTATCATATGAGTGTCTGAGATGTAAACCCTGTACTTAGGTTCTCAGTTTTTGAACTGGGATAGTTGCACCGATTTCTCTTTCCTTGAATCACATGGGAAAGCAGAAGGGGCAAAAAATAATAGAGTTTTCTCGGCTAGGAAGGTCTCGTACAGGGTAAAATCATGAAATCTTATATCTCTGTCTCACTGGCCACACTCTGGCATTCTCTGTTAGTTGTGCATTCAGCAAGGTCTTTTCTTTTTATATTTCGTTCATCCTTGACACTGGACAGATGTGGGTATAAGAGCAAGGTTGAACACAAAACTGATACGCATCTCCGTAGAACCCTGCGATGATATTTGACAAGTGTCTAGGACTCTAGATAGATTATTTTAATGGTGGACTTTGTGGCAAAGTTGTGTTGATGTGATGCATAAGAGTTCCACAAGTTTTATGTGCATCGTATATGTGACTGCAATTTGGTGTATGAAAATGGTACAAACTTAAGAGTCATCTACTAAGTAATTCCAGTGCACAGTTAATGACAGTGGAAATTGTTATTCCTTACTAATCTAAATTTCGTGATATAGGTGAAGCATTATTTTCAATATGGAGAACCAAATGGAACAGTAAATGAAATCTGGCGCCAGATCGCACAGAAGCTCCCCTTTATCAAATTGACAATCAACCGCGACAGGCGACTTGTCAAGAGGGATTCGAATGTGCGAGACTGCTCTTGTCTCTGCTCAAACCAGACCGGGATTATAACTAGCCTATGATACCACTCTCGTCAATGAGAGACTATTAATCAGATAACACTATCTACTTCAAAGGAGGCTGCTCCACCTCTGTCAGTCATTTGGAGCTTCATATTTTGATCCGAAAACCTTGGATCGACAATTAGCCATGAAGGTTTCGCTTATGCATCTTCGGAAGAGTGATGAGCAGTCGGTGTTTAGTTATAAGCTGCTGCTGCTTTATGCTGGTTATGACGAAGCTGAATGACACACGCAGTTCGTTCTTTCACAGATTGGGGTTTTCGATACGGGGCCTTAAGCAATTTGCTGTGGTTGTAGATACCGTTGTTTTACTTGGTCATGAAGAATCAGCAGCTGGAAAATTAAAATTAAATTACATGTAACTTGTAATTCATTTGTACATTGGTAGATAATAAAAAACATGTTTGTTTCATCTATTGTCTTGCCCTGTATCCGTAAACATGTTGCGATCGCAGCCATTTTTGGCACTAAAAGCTCGTTTGGAACTGCTTTTAAGACGGCTAAAAGCGTTTTTTATGAAAATGTTTTTGAAATCAGTCTTTAATTAAAATGTAGGATTCAAGTGAATTGTGAAAAAGCATTTTGCTTTTTGGAAGTTGGAACCTACAAACATATTCTTTAAAAGTGTTTTTAGTCATTTTAAAAGTATTTTCAAACAAACCCTAAACCGTCTCGAACGCAATAGAGAACCATGTTACCAATTCAGTCACATATCAAGACAAAGAAACAATACACAGATCTCTTCTGGTGATTCCGTCGAAGTGTTCTAACATCCAGGTTAAGAGACTCAGCATGCCACATTTCTCATATGGTATTAAGATTAAAATTTGTGGTGTGCCATCAGCTTCAGATCCTCAACCGGGCGGCCATTTCAGGCTGATGAAGTTCCAACTTCATCAATTACTGTCTGTCTTGTAATGAAGGCCGCCCGGACTTCTGGATCTAAACTCATCGTCGTTCTCACGTCGCCGCTCCTCTTTGTTTCAGAGTGTAGTGTGTAGGGTTTTGGAGGAGAGTTCAGTTCCACAGAGTTGAAAGAGAGATGTTTTAAATACTTTTGGTTTTTCACATCTCGCATTCTTGTTTCTTTGTGCGAAAATCATTTCCCTTGAATAAAGAAGCACCCAGCGCCGAGTCTCGACTCACATAGGATTAAATTTTATTTCTGTCTTAATATTTCAGCAACACTCTAGATATACAATTTGTCAAAATTCGTATGAACTAGCCCATCTATCTCTAATAACTGAGGCATTGACAGAATTACAGAGTAGATAAATTACCAATCATCCCTTTTACCTTTTAACTCGGTTTCGCTTCGTTTTTTACTTGTAGGATATTGGACCGGATCTTGAGACAGCGAACCTCGGTAGCGGACTAGGGCCGGTACTCCCTGAAGTTGAGCCTTCCACAAACTTAACTTTACTACGGCTTGAGCTGTAATCTAAAGGCCCGGAACGACGAACATTCCTTAGCCTGCTTTCTGTGCTCCGTAAGCTTCCGCTGTCAGTTTCATGCTCCTGGCTATGGGATGATGATCCTTTGAAATGACTTGAATCATACTGAGGAGTGGAGTCGCCACGAGGATGTCGTACTCCAGGAGATGAATGTGAGAGTGATGCAGCAGGTGAATGGCGGGGTGAACCACTTAGTAATGCAAGTGGCGTCGATGGAGAGTTTTCATAATACTGGCTGTATATCGAACGAAGAATGGCATATGGGATGTAGGGTTCCAGAGAGCTTCGTGGAAGATAAGGCGAGATCTCACAAAGTTGGTCTAGGAAAATTAGCTGTGCTACGAGATGAGATCTGTGAAGAACAGTTGAAATTATTTGCAGCTTGCACGGGTAAGTAGGAGAATCATAGATAACGTACATGAGCGTGCAAGCAAGCGAAATCTTGTCTTGGTCTTACGTACAATCAAATGAATTACATGTCCCCGAACAAGTGAGAAGAGACGAATGAACTTACCGGTTAGTTTCATTCCATGAATCCAGTATAATGCCTGCAGAGAATTTGACGAAGAGCTGCATTGTGGATTTTATGCTTGCTTCAGCTGACGAACGGCTTTGAATTTCAGTGTCCCCATTATCAGCAGCATGTCCATTTGAGAGAGACTGCCTTTGTTGATGCTCACGCTCCAGTCTAACAAACTCACTTCCTGCAATTACAGCACTAATGCACCTGCCAACAAAATTTGTCCAAGATAGGCATTAATGCATTTGGCAAAAAGACCCATTAATTTTTAGTGATCATGGAGGAATCAAGAAACTACATAAACAAAAATTTTCCTGTTGGACTAAGCACTAGTGAATAGGTAAGGGTTTGGATAATTTGCCTTGACGAACTTTAAGTAATCACGAATCCCATCTTGTATTCAGAAATATCTAGCGTAAAATATAATTCTACTTAATGGTGAAAGTAAATGCAAGTGCACCTTGCCAAGCAGTGGATATTGTTGTTGAATCCCCCTGTGTCCACGTTGAAGGCAGTTGTATTCCAAATATTTGACATCATGAAAGTGGCAAATAAATAAGGCAAGAAGCTCCATGAACCATCGTTTGCACCTCCAACCTCTTCTAAGATAAATCTCACCCACTGAGAATCATGATCGTAGACTACACCAAAATTGTTTGCCACCCCTCTCAATCTCCTGATTTCTATCTTTTCAGGTATTTCTTCAGGTATATGCTTAGCTATACCGGTCAACAATGAATGTATCAAGGGTGCACCTTCTAAGAGCACAGCTCCAGAAGCTTCAGCTAGAAGTCTGTCAAAAGCCAAGGCCAGCCCAGCTTGGACGCAAAACCCAATCACAGTGTCTATATCAAGTATCTGCTTTATTGATGCGTCTCTTTCTATTCGGTCACCAGAATGCAGGCTTCCAGCAACTGCCTCTAGCACATCACGGTTCGATCTCAATGTTGTGTCGATACAATTTAAAAGTGCAGCAGTGTGTTCTTTCAGCATTCTGTCTAACCTGTCAACTCCATAGCCACCAAAAATCCGAACAAAGGCCTTCAATTCTTTAAGATCGGTGACTGAATCAGCAAAATATCCACCAACAGGCCTTGTGCTCTTGAAACATTTGTGAATTGGAGCAAAAAGGATTCCAGCACCAGATATATCCTTGATTATATTTTCAATGTACCAGTTACAAACAGCCTCAGTGGCTGATCCTGTTTGTTGCTCTGCTGGCTTCTCAAACAAATGCAAAGAAGAAACTGGTCCTGAGAAGGCCTCTGAGAGCAGAACTTCTCGAATACCCTGAGTTAGGTCCATGCTAATATGCTGCTCTGCCAGATGGATGATGCTTATGTGTCTGCGAATAAGTGACTCCAGAACAGAAGGCCGTTGGAGATCATTATCAGTTTTAAGTGCTGAAAGCAATCTCCTCCTAAGGTTCCCAAGGATGCATTCTCTCATGTACTGTGAATATAATAATTGGTACACTTCAGTAGAATGCAAGAATCACGTAATCTTGTGGTTGAAGAAAAAAGAGTTTACTTACCTCCCTTAAGACAAAAACATGGTTTAGTACACATATAGGCTCCATATCATTCAAAACTGAGCATAAATTGGTCAGTCTCTGCACTGCAGCTTCTAACCTGCCATTACCAAGAAAAAGCAAAGGCACTGTTAGCTGTGTCAAAATATTGGACTCCGAAAAAGAGAGCACACAATGCATGAAACTATGATGATTAACGACTTACATTTTGATAGAAGTATTATTTTCAGGATGACTCTCCTGACCAGGAAAAGGGAAACCAGATGGGCCCTTTGGAGATTTAGCTGAAAGATTTGATACTCTGGATGCATAATTCATATAATACGCTGCCTGCTCCGGGAGAAGCTGAAAATTTTCTCAAAATTAGTTCTGTAAAACCTAATTGAATAAACTGTTTCTTATTTCCTGTTATTTCAAAATTAGATCAGATAAAAGTGATTACCTGGATCTCAAGGGCACCGAATCCTCCTTCGGAATCAAGTATGTTGATTAATCCCTCGAGTCCTCCCATTATTGATTCAATCAGAGATTCAACATAAAGGACTGCATCCCTGCCAATTTTAGTTACCTGCTTGCAGTAAGGAGTTAAGCACGGTCATTTCATTTCTGGTCTCATGCATCCATGTGCATGCTGAAGCAAGTTAAGCTATACCATCCGAACATCATAACATGCTTTATTTTGTCTCAATACAGGACTTAGTAATGAATTTTTGGCGAGCATGTTAAAAGAAGTTTTTGTGTTTTAAATTTGTTAAAACAATGATTGCAATTTGCTTGTTGGGACTGTAGATATGTATAGAAAGTTTTAAGGGGGCGTGGAGGAAATTGAGTTTATCGATTACCTCTTCTGGAACAATTGGGGAAGCACATTCTGGAAAACTACTTGCAACGCCAAGCCATGCACAGCAATGCTGTGGGCGACCTTCTGGGCCAAACATAGTATTCCTGAAGACCTATTTCAGGAGAAAGAATACAAAAACAATTTTAATTTGTGTCAAGTTATTGTTACACTAAATGGGAACTTATCAAACCAATTACAGCTAAAGAGAGAAAGCGCTTACTGCTGTAAGGTGCTGATGGTAGAAATACAATTTCTTAAGACTCGCATGCTCTGATAATTGAGTTTCCAGTTCGTCAACACATCTAAATTGAAACATATACGTGTGTTATTATTGTCACCTTGACACCTTCAAATGCATGTGCAGCCATGTGTTAATCTAATCATGAAATGTTGAAGTTGGAAGCATTTTATTTACTTCAGGAACTGCTAAATAGATGTTCCAATATCAGCTGTGAAACTATTTTGATCATACTATGCTAAACAATATTGAAAGGAATCCATTAAATGTTTTTCACTTTTCAGGCAAAACATTGTGCTATCCTAGCTCCTATAGGTAACATAAAAAATGTTCAAATTATTTTCTTCTTTTTTTTTTTTTTTTCCCTTTAAATATCCAAGATGACTCATGCATCCCAAGATTAACAGCACTTGAGAATAAAATGGAACCAGTTAGAATAGCTTCTAGGAATCACCAATAAGATTTTAATTACCATTTTCTCCAACTGTTCCATGCATTTTTGTTAACTCGTAACAATATTTATCTGCATCGATGTAATTGACTAATTGCAATGATGGACTACAAAATCATCACAACGGGTAAAACAAAGTCAGAAGGAGCACCTGGACCAATTGTATGCAGCATTTCCTTCCGATAATAAGCCTTCTTTCCCAGTAGAAACTGTAGCTTTCTCCAAATGTCGTATGTTTATAGATGACCGGGAAGATGTGACTATCATCAATATTGATAACCAATCCTTTCGAAATTCCTGTTTAGTAATCACAAAATTCATGCCTAAAAAAATGTATAAAAAGAAAACCTAAATAATTTGAGAACTAATATCCTAGA